TTTTTTTTTTTTTTTTTTTTTGTGGGATGCCGACGACCCCCGACCAGTAGGTGCCGACCAGCCGACCGGTCAGCGGGTCGGCAGCCGACTAGTCAAGGGTCGTCGACGGTCGGGGTGCACTGCCGTGTGTTGTATTCGGGGGAAGAAGGTAGGAGGGTACTTGAGCTGCTGGTTGGGCATGAGAAAGTCGAAAGCCATGCTGGCGTCTTTTTTGCTGTTCCAGAGTAATCTGCTCCGGCAGTGAGTATTGAGAACCCTCTGAAGTTTCTCTCTCCTCTGATCCGTTCGTTGCCCCTCCACGTCCCTCTTCTCTCTCTCCCATCTCCCTTCCGCCCCCCCTTCCCTCCCCCCTCACTTCCTATAGAACTACATCCCCTACTCTTCCTGTCCCCCCTCCTCTTGTGTACTACCGGTAAATGCATGCAAATGAGCATCGTTAAGAGAGCAGAGAAAATATATAAGCTGAAGGTCTGAAGAAAAATGAACAAGAGTATACCTCCCCCTTCACTCTGCCTCCTTTCATAGCGTGCAAGTGGGCCGTAAAGGCGCTGGGGTGTCGGCAGGTGGCACTCAGCCACAGTCAATGTGGCCAGCCTTCTACGTGAGAGGCACAGTAGAAAGAGAGCTGCAAGAACAAATAGAAGGGGTAACCCGAAGAAAGCCAAAGTAAACATAGTCAAGAAAGGGATATGATTGAACTATTCTGCTGCATGTTGCTTGCTATAGAGGTAAAACTGTTTCGTTGTTGGATTGACGCATCTCAATTGTGCTTTGTTTTTGGGAAAGGGAGGTATAGCTGCGTTGGTTTTGGATCTACTCTTATGGGTGGAATGGGGGCTGTTGTGGTGAAAATCTGCAACACACATCCTTTCATACTGTGCAAGTGGCCCGGTATGGTAACATGGGGACGTGGGCAGCTTGCGCTCAACCACAATCAACATGGCAGGACTTGTATTTTGGAGGCACATTAAAAGGGGAGCTGCAAGAATAAACAATTGGGGTACCTCAAAGAAAGCCAAAGTAAGAATAGTAAGAATAGCTTAGAAAGGACTGTACAAGGAAAAGGCAATGTAGCGGTTTAATTGTGCTTCATGATTTTAGAAAGGACTGTACAAGGAAAAGGCAATGTAACGGTTTATTGTGCTTCATGATGTTTCCTATAGAGGTAGAGCTGTTTTTTCAAGTTTGAATTTGGTCATCCTAGTGTGCTTCATTGTTTGCTATAGAGGTAAAGCTGTTTTTATTTTGGATCTGCTCATCTAGGTGGAAAAGGGGTTGTTGTGTTGAAATTCGTAACATGCAAGTGGGCGGTTGTGGGCCTTGTGGCACTTGAGGATTTGGGCAACTGGCGCTCAACCGCAATCAATGTGCCCAGCCTTGTACGTGAGACACAGTAAAAAAAGGGAGCTACAAGAAGAGATTAAAGGTGCACCCCAAAGAAAGCCAAACTAAAGATAGTCAAGAAAGGGATATAACGGATCTTATTCTGCTCCATGTTGCTTGCTATAGAGGTAAAGCTGTTTCACTGTTGGATTGGCTCATCTCGAGTGTGCTTCATTGTCCGCAATAGAGGTAAAGCTGCTTCAATTTTTTTGATCTACTCATCTGGGTGGAACAAGGGCTGTTGTGGTGAAAATCCACAACACGCGCGCACACACACACACACACACACACAC